ACAAATCTGAAAACAGATTTCGTTCGAACTCTCCCCCATGGTCGCTTCTTATGGCTACTATGGTTGTTTCTTTTTCATTTTGAACTTTCTTTAGAAAATTTTTGAAAACATGAAATGCTTCACTTTTATGAGTAAGAAACAAGGTCCATGTAAACCTAGAGTAGTCATCGACAATCACAAACGCAAAGTAATTGCCACCAAAACTTTTCATTCTAGAAGGACCAAAAAGATCCATGTGCAAAAGTTGAAGCGGTCTAGACATTGAAACAACGTTCTTAGACTTAAACGAAGCCCGAACTTGCTTCCCCTTTTGACATGCATCACATATGGCGTTTTTTTCAAACTTAAGTTTTGGAATGCCAATTACTAAGTCTTGTGAAACCAATTTGTGCAAAAGGTTCATGTTCATATGAGCTACCCTTCGGTGCCAAAACCAAGTGTCTTCCTCTTTACTCATGAGGCACTTAGCAAAGTCGGAAGGAGATTTGTCTAAGTTAACCATATAAATGTTATCGATTCTATCACCACGTAAAATGACCTTATTGTCACTAAGGCGTTCTACCGTGCATGATTTTGAATCGAAAGTCACACAGTTTCCCTTGTCACATAATTGACTTATGCTCAAGAGATTGTGTTTAAGACCTTTAACAAGCAAGACATTATCTATAGAGGAGTTTTCAAATTTACCTAGTGAACCAACGCCGATAATTTTTCCCTTGCTATTATCTCCAAAAATTATGTTTCCTCCTTTAGCGGGTTTTTGATTTGGAGAAACTTGGATGCATCCCCGGTCATGTGCTTGGAGCATCCGCTATCAAGGTACCAAAGTACACTTGATGCCTTCAAGCACGCCTATGAAACACATCAATGAGTTTTAGGTACCCAATTTACGTTGGGTCCTCGGGTGTTAGGTGTGTGATGGTAGTGTGCTTGATTTTGTGATAGGTGCCTATGCCTAGTGTAACAAACGGGAGCAATATGGCCTATCCTATTACAGTAATGGCAAACTACGTTGGGGTTGTACATGTGCCTAGGTTCATAATAGTTAAAGGGTTAAACCATTTTGTTCCTATTTTGTGAAAACAACGGTTTTTGAAAATTTTGAAACTGGCCTTTTCTAGGTGTTCTAGTATTATTTCTCCAAATTTGAGAAAACTCGTTTTTATGCACAAAATCATTTTTCTTAGGTTGTCTACCATGACCATTTTCATTCCTAGGTTTTAGTCTAGATTGTCTAGTGTCCTTAGGTTGACTAGGTTTTCTATTATCTTGATTTTTAGGTTTCTTATGTTGAACCATAGATGATTGTCTAGGTGGTGGCTCAACATTATCTTTAGCTTTATTTTTATCAAAAGCTATTCCTTCTTTAGAAAAATGCAAAGTGTCAAGAAGTAAATTTAAGTCTTTGTGAGGAGTATTAAATTTCTTGACCGTGCTCTCAAGTTTAGCGACTTGATCTTTTAAAGCTTTGCAAGACCCACATTCACTTGATGAGCTTTCTGGTTTGTTAGCGCTTCTTTTTCCAAAAAATTTGTTTTCTTGTTTAAGTATTTCATTTTCTTTTTCCAATTTTCAAAATCGTTTTCAAGTAAAGAAGATCGTTTCTTCAAAGATTTATTTGTTTAAGACGCGCTAACAAATTCCTCATAAAGTTCATGAAGTGCTTCTTGCATTTCTTCAAAAGTATAAGAGTCGGAAGAAATGTTACATACCTCTTGGACGTCGTCGCTTTGATCTTCGTGCGCCATGAGGCAGAGATTTGCAGCTTCGTCCTCCTCTTGGTCGGTTGATTCGTCGCCGGAATCGCCACCCCAAGAGATGTAGGCCCTTTGCTTCTTGAAGCCAGGCTT